TATTTATTCTCCTTATTATTTTTAAAATCGTACATATAACTTATAATAATATTACAGTAAACAAAGATACAGTGCGGATTTAAGCTCATTTCGGACCCTAGGGACAGAAGATTTACAGGCCCCTTTGGCAATGGTGGATCGAAATTTTTTCCAGAAAACCTGATTAAATCCATCTTATCCGGGAACCTTATAGGTCCTTTCGGGCTCCTGGGCACTCAGTGGATAAACCAGCATTGCAAATATATATCTATGTGCAATACCGTAGAATATATATGTTATTCTTAAATCTCTTAAATTTGAGAATTGAACTTTATTAAGCATCAAACTTTTTTTACTTATACTTAATTATGTACATATATTACAATTAAATGTATAAGTATATATTGACTAAGATTTGGAGTAATTACGCTAATTTACATTGTGGTAACATTATATTCTCATTATTTTCCACAAGGTTGTTGAAGTTTACGGACAAACTGAAATGGGTGGTCCCTGTTGTATCAATAAATCGAAAGACAAATATCTTGGTAAGTTGCTGCATAAAATGATCAAACATTTGGTAAAAAACTTATAAAAGTATTCAACAAATAAAAAAATTCCAATAAATAATAAGGCGACATATATATATATATATATATATATATATTTGCTTTTTTTCCTACGTTAAGGAAAACTTTTTCTATATTTTCCATGAATCTTTTGAATGTATTGTCGATAAAAGATGTTTTTGTTTTGGAATTTTGTTACCTCTTAAAGAGCTACTGGGATTTTTTTAGCAATTACGTATTTAATTTCCAACTATTTAGGTTAATAAAAAGAATAACATTATTTGATAAATATTTTCAAGGCAAAAAATTAGCAATTTAAGTTTTATAAATTCATAGAGAATAGTAACAAGAATATATAAATATTTATAGTTCAGTATAACATACTCTATTTTAATAGACATAAATTATTTGAATATAAAAGATTAAAGTAGGTAAAAGAAGTAGTGGAAACAATAAAAATTTGGGTGCTGCATTGCTATAAACATTGTCTGATTGAAGACTGCTTATTAAAAAGTGGGGTTTAACCAGTTTTTCGGCTGACCTTCTCTCTTTTTGCTCATAACATTGAACGAAATCCTATTGAATATAATGTATAGAAGTCTAAAAAACTCATTATAGATAAAAAGCTTTACATTTAAAGTTACATATAAGGTTTAGATAGCCTTAATAGGCGCACGCACGCACGCACATACTTACGCACACGCACGCGCACACACGCACACGCGTGCGCACACACACACACACACACCCACCCACACACACACACGCCCACACACACACGCCCACACACACACACACACACTATTTTTATTTTTCAGAAAATTATTTTCTATTAAATTAATTGAAGTACACTTTCAATAAAAAATTTTTTTGGGGGATTTTCAGGGATTTGCTACATTTTAAACTATTTACAAAAATGCTTTGTACATTTTAAAATAATAGTTCATCTCATTCCTTTGTATAAATTACAATTAATTTGAAATATTGAAGGTTATGAACATTTATTGTCAGTTTCTGATATTTGATGAGTTTGGTACATTGTGTTACATATTTCAAAATATAAACATAAATATTATTCTTTCAAAGGTCAAAACTTTAATATTAATTAATTAATTTAATTTTAGGAGGAGTTGGTGCTCCTCTTCCTTGCTGCATAATGAAAGTTGTAGATGTACCAGAAATGAACTATTATTCAAAAAATTCTACAGGAGAGGTAAAAATTTATTTTTGGGAGAGAATGAAGAAAAATATAATGTATGTCTATAAAAATTTATATGTTAACTGTGTGTGTGTCGTATGTGGGCAATAAAAGTAATAAATAATACCACTCTTAATTTTCATGAACTTATTCAATTATGTGTAAAAAATTAAGATTAAACACACATTAAAAGCAAAACTTTTGATTCATTTTGATGTATCACATTTCCCTGTTCAAAGAAAAATTATCTTTTTAGAAAACAAATATTTAAGTAAAGAACGGGTGAGACTATTAAGCAAATCAATATTAATATTAATCAAGCAACATATATTAATAAATCGGTTTAAATATTAATAGAACTTTATAATTCAATTTAATAAAGGATGCTTATATATATATTAATATAGTTTACTGGTGTGAAATAATTCATGTAAGAAAGTTCAATAGCTGAACCATAGAGCTGTAATGTCACCGGTTTGAAACAGCGCCATTACAGCTCTATGGTCGTCATTTAGAGCATGCGCACTAAGTGCCTTCATATATTGACTAAAATAGACATCATAATGGAAGAATTCTATTATGTTGATGTTTTATATGTGTTTAAAATGCCTTCTACAATTGAAAATAAGTCTGATTATAAAATACGCTCTGTTATTCGTTATTTTAAAATAAAAGAGACTTGAAAGCTTTTAAAATTTACAGGGGAATTGGTATAGGAAATAGACAAAACATTATAAGCACTGGAATGGTGTGAAATTTTTTTTAGAGAATTTAAAGATATCGGTATAAAAGTACACGATAAGAAAGAAATTGGGTGACCGTCCATTAACCGTAGGTGCAGTGTTGCAGAAAATCAAACAAAAAATATTTAGAAAAAAGACACTAAGATTTTATCTTTATCTAATGATTTCCTTTCAATTTCAAGAAGTCATTTCTAAGAAAACATTTAATTTCTAAAAATACATAAGAATTTTCGTAATACACTACATGTGTATTACGTAACATACGATTAAAATGTTTGCACCAATGTTACTAAAATGAGAAAATATGGTTGGCATGGAATAGACATAATCCATCCAGATTGAGAAGATTTCCTGTTTTCATTTGAGTTACTTTGATTTCTTTTAGAATTTTCAAAATGTTTTCTGAAAAAAATTATTTTGATTTAAAGTGTGTGTATAAGTTTATTTTAATAAAATCAAACAAAGGTAATAAATTGAGATATTAACATGGTTTAAGCAATTACTGGATGGACATATCATATTCCTTACCCAGACGTACGATACTTAGCACGATCCAGACGAAAAACATAGATTTAAATAATTAATGTATACATATATACATATAAATCTATATTTATTAAGAACTTTATTTTATTCGATACAATTCGATGTAAGATGAATTTTTGATTATATATAATTTAGTTTTAAACATAAATGTTTTTATTTAAATCTGTACATACTGTAATTATACAGTTTACCCAAAAATAATGAAATGTAATGGAAATTATTTAAGTTGGTCCTTAAGACATGATTTGTAATACTTCTTTAGTAAAAGATTTTCTTCTTTGTAAATACATTGACGGAGAAAAAAATTCCAACACCAAGAAAAAATTATTGTAGATTAACGAATTTTGAAGAATGCAGTTGTCTAGTTAACATGTTTAATTGATTAAATTTTCAAGATCACAAGTTAAATTAAGATGAAGAAAATGCATTTCAAATGTGAAAGGTTGTTACATTAGTAGCCGGTGTAACCTACAGAATTTTGAATGCAAGCCTGCAAACGTGCATGCATTGTGTCAGACAGGTGCCGAAGGTCACTTTGTGGTATGGAGGTTCATGCTTGTTATACTTACTGTGTCAACACTGGGACGGTCAGTGCTGGCTATGGATGATGCTGGAGTTGTTGTCAAGTGATATCCACTGCGTGATCAATTTGAAACAGATCTGGTGATTGTAGGCTAAGGTAACATGTCAAGATTCTATAGAGAACATTGCGTTGCAACAGTGGTGTGAAGGCGAGCGTCATCCTGTTGGAAATGTCCCCCTTGAACGCTGTTCATGAATGGTAGTACTATAGGTTGAATTACCAGACTGATGTACAAATTTACAGTCACTGTGTTTGGGATAACTCCGAGAGTGCTCCTGCTCCCTAGACCATGATTCCAGTTGTAGGTCCAGTGTGTCTAGGCCGCAGACAGATTTCAGGCGTTCCCCTTGCCTCCATCTGATGAACCACGGCCATCACTGGCACCAAGGCAGAAACTGCTTTCATCAAAAAGCACAACAAATCTCCATTCCGTCCTCCAATGAGCTCTGGCTTGACACCACTGGCTTCGCAAACGGCAAAGGCTTGAAGTCATTAGAATACTCGCTACAGGGTGCCTGGCTAGTAGCTGTCTTTGAAGTAACCGATTTCTAACTGTTCGTTGTGTCACTGTGGTACCAACTTTCAACTAGAATTTCTACCGTAGACGCAGAACGATGCGCCACAGCTGTGCGCCAAATACGGCGACCGTCCCTCTCAGTAGTGCCACGTGGACTCCCGGAACCCGGTCTTCATGAGGCAGTATCATCCTTTGATCACTTTTCCCAGCAATCATGCACAGTGTGTGGATACATTCTGAGCCTATTACACTACCTCTTTCAAACTCAGTGAGCTGTTGATGTCTTCTTCGTCTTCTTAAATGCATTCTTGGCTAACATTAACTCAATACGTCAAATTTCACAGAAAAACAGCGCTCATGAGCTTTACCACACGCATTTAAAACAACCCTGATTTGCAAGTTCTGAGTGGCTCTACTAGTGTCACACTTAAGTGTGAAGCGCGAAATTTGAATCTATGTCATCTTTCAGATGTATAAACACGCCTACCAAATTTCGTTCATCTAACATAAGTCTTTCTTGGTGTTGGGTTTACCCCCCCCCCGGCAATGTATCTTCTATATTTACATGAAAAATATGCATACTTATGTATGTTTGTTTAATTTTATATGCTGTACTTTTCCAGGTATGCTTGAAAGGCTATAATTTAATGAAGTGTTATTTAAAAGATCCCAAGAGAACTGCAGAAGCAGTGGACCAAGAAGGATGGCTGCATACTGGAGATATTGGAATGTGGTTGCCAGTAATTTTTTTTCGGAATTAATATTTAATTTTTGAAAATTCGGGAAAAAAAACTTTTAATTCTCTGAAATTTTAGAAAACATAAAAATGAGGGAATTTACATTTGTTACTTAAACAGTGTTTTACATGCGCCCATGTCATTCTGAAAACACTGGTTCTCGTACGATCACCGAAGTTAAGCATCAACATGCGTGGTCTGTACTAGGAAGGTCGAATACCTAGGAATACCGCGTGCCGTTGGAATTTATAAGCGACCCAGACGATATAGTGGTTAATGACGTTGATTGCTGTACTGTAAGGCCTGTGTTCGAATACCGGAGAATTCATTGACGCGTTTGTAAATCTGTAAATATTCTTAATAAATAATTTTAATAAATATTCATCGAGCCAAAATCCTCTCGTGAGGTTGGTGGTAGAGGAAGAGAGGTGAGAGACCCCCGACCACCTCAGGATGTTTGTTATCAAAATTGGGATAGAACGGAGCCAAAACGTGCTGTCACTTGCAAGGTGCTTAAAGCTGCGGCTAACAACAGACGTAATCTAGCTCTTTGCCTCGACGAATTTCGTAGGCCTCGATATGAGTGACACAGTCTTTTGGGCGGCAGTAGAAATAACTCGTTACAAAATACAACTACTAACGTTAGGAGATAAATGCACACCACATTTCTGTAACATTTTTATAAAAAAATGAAGTAAATAGGTATTAAAAAATAATTATTAACCTTTTTGGTACATTTATATAAAAGCGATTTCTAACATTTTTTCATTAAAAAAATATTGAAATTAAAATAATTCATAAGTCTAATTAACTGAAACGTAGGTGCCGTAAATTTAAGTTTTGTAAATATTATGTTTTTGAATATTTTCTTAATTTTGAATAATATTAAAAATTAAAAAAATTATTAAAAGTGAAAAGTTGCTAAAAAATTTCTAAAAGGGATTTTTTTTCAAATTAATTTTTTTTTGAATAAATGAAATTTTTGCTGCAAAAAATAAGATTTCTTACTTTCTGGCATTGAAAAACTATGCTCAGTGTTTTTTGAATCAAGAAATTTTTCGCTTATTTCATCAGTTTATTGCATTTATACGCTTCATTTTATTCGGTTCATTGTTGGAAAATTTCAAAGGGATTCATACAGGGCTTCGAATTGGAACTGAACCGAAAACGGGAAAAAACCGTATTTTGATCGGAACGAAAACAGGAACTGAACTGAAAAGAAAATATCGGTTTATTTCGGTTCGATATATCTTCAGTCATTTTGTTACTGTAACCAACTTATCAATATTTTTAAATTTAACTTCAACCATATAATTATCCACATTAGATGTTAATTGTTTCTTGATTTTCCTGTTTTAATGTTTACTAGTATTTTTCTGTTTCAGTTTCGCATGAAACTACTTGTGGAAGACAGATTTAATTCAGTTGAATGAACTAGAAGTACAGATGATATTTAAGAAAAATATCAGTCTGAGTCATATTTTTCGCATCTCAGCTTGCGATCATCTACGGATGTTTGTGTAGACTATTCAGATAGACAAACCAGAATCATGAACCTAGTTTTCAAATGCGATTTTGGTAATCGATATTAATGTCAATGCTCGTCATTCTCTGCTCACAACTCCTATCGTGCATGCTGGTTAATTGTATTAATTCATATAGTGTACCAATTAAAAAAAGAATAAAATCTTCTGAATTTTGATAGGATTACATTTTTTGCTTATGACAGAATATGCTTTTAGTGCAAGCAAGAAATATACAAAAAATAAAATTATTCATTCGGAACTGATCCGAAAATCGAAAATCGTTATCTTAGGTGGAACGAAAATCGGAACTCAACCGATATATATATTTTTTTAGTTGAACCGAAAAAAAACCAGAACCAAACAACTTACGGTTCAAGGCCCTGGATTCATCATTAATCCTTACATCTCATCAATAAATGAATCATTATGTGACTATACAAAAATATTTTTTTATCCAATTTAGTTTGAGTTCAATAAAATCAATTGAAACAATCGATAGAGGATAAACAAATTTTACATTTAACCTTGAACAATGTGAATGGATTAATTTTTAATGTGACACTGAGAAGCAAAATTATAAATATGTTGTGGGAATGGAATTTTTTTTATGTTAAATTCGAATATTCTTTAGATCAGAATTTTATACAATTATATTGATTTCTTACATTTCAAACTTTTTATTGAGGTATTTTTTAATAAACTTTGTTTCTTCTAAATAGAATGGAATTCTAAAAATTATAGACAGGAAGAAGAATATTCTAAAACTCTCTCAAGGCGAATACGTTGCGGTGGAGAAAATTGAAACTATTTATGCATTAAGTTCATACGCTTCACAGATCTTTGTTTATGGAGACAGTTTAAGGGTATGTATGTTCAATATAAAGTGTAAGAAAAGTATTTTAAAGTATAGCAAGCAATTCGACATGACGGCATACGGAAAAAATGTAAAATCGGAATATATTTCTTAATATGTTTTCATAGAGTCCTTATAATCGAAATCGTTAAATCTGTTTTTGAAAACTATTTTCTTAAGTACCTGAATTTTTTTTTTAAAATTATAAACTTAGGAATGGTATGGCATTAGTTATAATAAGAAGGAGCTGAAGAAAACGCCGAGTTGGATATATTAACAATAATAGCCGAAAAGTACAGATTTTAAAAAGTAAAAATAGTAGAACTAAAATTAAATATAAATAAATGGGGTACATTGAAAGGTATTTACTATATATATAGTATAATAAAATAAAATAATAAGTGAGAAAGTTGTATTACCTACAAGACCAAAAAAGAAAGAAATTGGATTCCAAGAAACAACAATTGAAGATACAGAAAGAGTCTTTGGACTAAAATAGAGACCTATTACGATTTCTAAAGCTGCTGCTGAATTAAGCCAGCTAATTATGGTTAAGCTGCTTTATGATACCACCTTCCCCATACAGCTGAAATTTTCGACATAATAGGAAAATGGAGCCATGTTGAAAAATTACTATTTCTCTCACTCGTGGATGATACACCAGACAGTAAAATAAAATGAAAGTATCAACTGAGATCAATTTGAATAATAAGAAATAAATTCTATAGGATAAAAATTACTAACCATAAGGATATAATGAATTCACAAATCATCTTAGTCAGAAAACGCGCGCTAAATGACATGTTAAAATTGAAGTATTAATTCAAAAAGCAAAAATTTGTGGCACCACCTAGATAGTTTTTTTGCATACGATATTTTAGTGAAATTAATAATCTACATTGAAAAAAAAAAGTTAATATTGCATAGAAATATATTTAAAAATGAATTTACTTGGATAGTTGTATTCCAAGTAATTATCGCAGAATTTTTTATAATTACCTTGTTTTAATACATTATATATATATATATATATTAGCAACATTCTAAAATTGGAAATTGGGTTTTTAATTTTACTAAAATCGGTAAAAGAAAAATAAAAGTTACTGGCAGTCAATGACAGTTTCTCAATTACACTCATTAGGGTAGATCGAAATTTTTTTTTCAAAACCTACATATGCGGAAAAGATGTTCTATGATGTATAAATGAGAAAGAATAAATAAAATAAAAGATACGTTTTTATGTTAGGTACTGCCAAAAGGTGAATGAAGTTTAGCATTTTTAGCTTTTTTTCTGGTAAAAAGTCAAAGTAATTTTTATTTAAAAAGAACAAGTAGTTTGGTTTTTTAACATGCATTGGATAAGAGGACGCCTACTAAATAGTTACAAGAAAGAAACATCAGGTACATCTATAAAAGCTACTTTATTATTAAAATTTAAAAAAAAAGAAATGAAAAAAACCTACTATCGAGATTTCAGTGCACGATAAAGCCGAAGACGGAAAAAAAGTTTGGATCGGACCGATTCGACGGTGTGGGGAGGGAGATGTACGGTTACGAAATGTTGCAATGTACATAGTATTATTTACTACTCAGTGCTTTTTTTCCACTTAATTATCACTTCTGGTTGTTTGTGTTGTAGAAAAATAATTTTATTTTGAATCTAAAATCATCTGACCAAAATAAAGTCTTTCTAAATTCTTCGAAAATTATTCCTTTTGTGGCAATATTAAACCTTGAAAGTATTTTTTTAAATATTTCTTTCACCTTATCTCTGTATCATAGAACATCTTTTTCACATTGGTAGGTTTAGGTTAAGAATAATTCCTCCCCCCCCCCCTGTAACTGTGATCCACTCCAACACACATTCACCAAGATACTGGTTATATTTCTTTTAATTTCATTCATAGACGATTAAATTCATTGACAGCATCTTCCTGCACTTCGTATAAATAAACGATTTGAATAAGTTTTTAAGCATCTCCTTGAAAAATGGGTAATTTTTTAACGAGGATGAGTTGTACAAAATGCAGAAAGGGAAATCCATCTAACACGGGATAAATCTTGATAAAATAACCTTGAAATGTATAATGTTTTTTTTTTGTATTTAGGCCCTTTTCAGATTTTTTTGCTCATAAGTCGACGAGCAAACCAATATAATGAAGAACGATAAAACCAGTCACCAAAGGCACAATTAACAGCATTCAAAGAAAGACAGTTTAAAACAGCAGGGCATGTATAGAGGTAATCCCCAGTCATGGATATGCTATGGGCACAAAGATTGCAGTAATCTGAATCTGTAATTCTCATTCTGTGTACAGATAACTCAGTAAAAAGTCATGATCAATGGCAAATCTAAAAAAGACCACGCTGACTGCTTCAGGCATGGAACTAAAAATTCTTGTCGATTTATTCGAAAGGAAGTCCCCCCCCCCCGAAGTCTTCTCCATAAACAAGCTGGAATGGTTTGATTTAAGACATCGAGATATAAATAGATGCCGATCAGTGAAATTGCCGCATAATATGGTCTTGAAGTGAAGTAATGATTCTCTGCTACAGAGCCAATATTGTAAAACATGATTAAAACACTTTTTGTCAAATTTATTTTATTTTTATTAATTGCCATTGCGAAATTAATTTTCTAAAATACTCCAACCTGTTATTTTTGAATAAGCATTTCATTCAAAATGACTGATGTCCAGTAGGGGGGACAAAAAAAAAACAGCAACTCATTTTTTGAATCAGATTTACCAAATGAGCAGCAGCAATTAAAATGGTATGTTGAAATGACGAACTTTGTTCGAGGTTGCTAAGCATATAAAAGCTTAGCTCTTTGGATTGGCACGCGACAAGTATCTTATGGTG